CTTCATAGCCTGCAGAAAAGAGGAGAATCGTACAGTCACATTGGCATAGGTAGAACAAAAAATAGTGCATTTTGCTCCTTTGTCTGAGTAGATATCTTCACAGACAGGAGAAAAGACAAGAACAATACGATCAAACAGTCAAAAGTAACTACTTTTAGTGTCCCTCACAGGTGGAGTAAAAAAAATTTTCTTCACGTTACCGTAAGCATGTATCTGTTCATAGGCAGAAGAAAAGACAAGAACTATTCGATGAAACAGAAATAGGTTACTGCTTTTAGTATTTGTTATTATCTGTAAAAGAAAAAGTAATTTTCTTCATCATGTCGTCAGCATATATATCTTCTCGAATGAAAAAGAAGAGAAGAACTTTTCGATGAAACGGTCATTGGTAACTGCCGTTAGTCTTTATTATTGGTAGAAAGAATAATTTTCAGTACTATGTCGTCATGCTTGTAAGTTTTCATCAACAGAGAAAAAGAGAAGAACCTAACGATCGAAGGGTCACGATGAACTGTTGCTAATTGGCGATAAGTGCACAAAAGAGAAATAGTTTCTCTGTTGTGTAATTATGTTTTAGTTTCACCATAGGTTGAAGGAAAGAGAAGAGGGAATCATACGAATCGTCGCTAGTAAATGATGTTTGTCTACGTAATATGTTTAGGAGAAAAGTTGGTTTACTTGTCAGTAAAACACTATCACTTTCAGTGTTCCTTAAATGTAGAAGAAAAAGTACATTTGTTTGCAGTATGATGTACTTGTATTTTGTAATTATAAAAGTGAGAGATAAGTGCTTCTCTCTGGTGTTTGTCACAGGTGATTTGTTTTTATTCTTGCTGATATGTACCGGAAAATATATTCATCCGTTTGTTATTTTGTCTAGCTGTCTCCTTTTTGTGAAACACGATCTAAAAGGAGTGTTGAAGTATATAGGGTAGAAATTTGGATCCGCCCTCCGGCTCCCCACAGACGTGACAGACATCCTTAGCAACGACACGTCACAGACATGATGGACATCACAGATCGTGACAGAAAGCTTAGCAACCATCACAGAGCGTGACAGACATTTTATTAATTAGTTGGTTCATAACTAATTAAGATCTCATTAATTAGGGTTAGTGGCTAATTAATTTAGTAGTTAATTAATTAATTAACGGTTAGTTTGGGACTGATTATTCACCTCATAATTAAGGATTAGTTGCTAATAGAATACTCCTCACAGACGATGACTAACACGTCTAATATGTTCATAAACCCTCCGAGAAGCAATCATTGAGTATACAAGTCTGTTGATATAAGATCAAAGACCACGCATCAAAAACGTTTTGTTATAACGTATAAACTAATTTTTGATTCCAGTTTTGAAGGAATGGATAAAACAATATTTTAGAAATGTGCTCCGAAATCGATAAATTTAAAAGATTTCCCTGCAATTAGGAAAAGCAGCTGGATCGTGTTTCACATTTTAATTCCGGAAGGGATTGCGCTGAAAGCTTTTTTAGAAGCATAGAATTTTAAAAATGACGATATTTAAATGAAACCTATTTTTATTGATTATATTAGTATTGGGAGTTTTGTAAAAAGAGTCTGTCTATTGCCTTGCAATTTTCACACTGAGAGTGCAACGAGAAAAGGTAAGAATGCTGAAGTGTGTTCCTGATAGTGATGTGCATAAGTAGGTCGTTATAAACTGAAGTTTCACACATTTAAACGTCGTGGGGAAAATTGAAAACCTTTACCTATAGGGAATGTTCTTTATGTAGAAGTTTTGACTTAAGTTCACAGAAGTGCATTTCTATTCTCTGTGTCAATTAGAGACACCTCTTGCTTGTCTGTTTTTCTACATAGTTTCATTCTCATAAATATACAAGTTTTCTTCGGACAACTTCTCAAATTTCCTGTTTGGTCACTTTGCTCTGGAGATGGAGATTAACATAATTGGATTCAGATAGAAGAACAACGAGATATGTTCAGGATTGATTGATGACGGATAGATGATTGAATCGTTTGAAGAATTCGTTGTTTCCTAGAGACCGAATGGAATGAATTGTAGTCGCTGTAGATTACTGTCGTCTTCATCTTTTTAAACAATTCTCATAATGAGCGCATGCACTGACAACTTATGTTGCTTTTTGAAATAGGAAAACTCTGAATCGAACGTGAGAGACGAGTTCATTTTTAGTGGTAGATTTTTAGAAATAAAAGGGTACAGTCATATGATACTTACACTCGAGGACAGCAATAAACACTAACTTTTTTGCATCCCTTACTATTTCTAAATCTGCTTGACCACGAACTAGATACCCCAACAGAACGATAAAATGTCAAATTTACGAAGATTGTGGTAGCTTCAAATAATGGCAAAAAGTATCCACAATTCATAAAAGGGACATGGTCACTAAGGCGAGGTTTATTTTCAAAAGAAATCCCTCGGTGGTTTTTCAAAACGTTTACTATACAAACATATATACAAAAGAGAGGTGTTCACACAATGGAAAGTTTTGCTATAGGTACTCAGAAAATACTTATTGGTTGTGTCAGTGGATTTTTCAGTTTTTCTTATAGAGAGAGAAAGATAAAGAGCAGGGCCTTCTCTTCTTAATAAAATCTGTTTTGCTGAATTAATTAAAAAACTATCGTACTACGTGCTAATATTTACATATTTTAGTAGAAAGATCACATTTATTTAGGCCGAATTATATGTGATTCAATAGAGAATGCAATGTTGATTCCAAATATCATCTTTGGAGTTTTGTTGGACAGTGTTCTAGTTGCAAAATCATAAACTATAAGTAACATTTAAAAACTCGATGAAATACCGCTTTCGAGAAATCTTGCATTATAGAACAAAATTAGATAGCTTTCGCTCATTAAATTGTTCAATAGTGCATACTCTTTGATATTGTGCATCACAATTGTGAAGGAGCGTTGAAGTACACAAAGAGAAAAGTGAAGCGCGCCCATTCAGTCACGCATACCGTGACAGACAGAAAGAATCGATAAGGGGTTTTCAGCATCACCAACTTCGACAGTCATTTTAAGATGTTAGTATGTCTGAGCGTCGCGCCTAACACGATTATTGTGGGAAGGACTTTTGTTTACGAGTAGAACCAATCCATCTGTTGTAACATCTTAATCCCTTGAGGATGATGCTGATAGGTTTTTTCAGCAGTATGCAATATAGAAGATTTTTGAAAATTCAATGGTCTAATAGTTCTTACCTAGCTGCAGCAATGAGTATAAACTTACATTGACCATTTCGTGACGAGCTTCAGAAAATATTGAAATTATGAATGCAACGTTTGAAAAAGCTAAAAAGTAGTAATATACGATAGCCAGAAAAAAATACTTTTGGCATAATTCAATTTTGTCTCTTCATTTATATCAGTTACTTGGAAATCTTAAGTGTATTGTCGCTGTACATTTTCAGATAAGTGTGACTTTGCTTTGCAAATCATTTTTATTATCGATTATCGATTATCAATCACCTATTAACCAATACAATGTTTAAAAGTATTAGGAAGAAGACTGCTTCGAAGAAGATCGACGAAGAACATCGGGAGGTATCATCGGTGTTTAAGATTGCTTCGACACGACGTTTACAGAGTATCGCTTCATTTGCTCAGCAGCGTATTTGGCTTGATGAACAAGCTTATTTCAATCCTCAGACTTCTCTGGCAATCTACCAGGTTGTTCTCCCTTTGACAATTAAACGTGGTTCCATGTCAATACCACGAATTAAGTCAGCAATTCTGAACATATTAGAACAGCATCAGGTCCTTCGAACAGCAGTTCGTCTGAACGAAGAAACTGGTCAACTTCAACAAATGGTTCAACCGATTACCAACAAGGAGAATTATTCGTTCGAAGTAACTCGCAGTGCGTATTCCTATTCCTCCGAAGAAGTTAATGCCTTGGTTATCAAAGAGACTGTCACTCATTTTGCTCAAATCGATCGTGGTCTAGTTGTCCGATGCCATCTAGTACAAATGAGTCAAAATGATACAGAATATTTGCATACAGGAGATTTAATTGTCTTCGTAATTCATCACATTGCATTTGACATGAGCTCGGGAGGCCCATTTCTCAATGCCTTTACGCAAGTATACGATTCAGTAGAACAAAGTACTTCAACTTTACAATATATCGATTATGCTTTGTATGAGCATGCTCAAGTCAATGATCCGACTGAAGACTCGAAAATGAATCAAGCACGACGCTTCTGGTCAAAACTATTGAACGGATACGATTGGAATCAAGACTATACAGCATTCTTAGGAGTAACAAAAACGACAAAAGCACGTTCTGGTCGAGGTTATTCTATTGTATTTGATCTGAATTCAGATCTGGTACATGCACAAATGCAATGTGCCAGTGTGAACAACGTTTCGATGTTTCAATTAGGCTTCGCATGCTATTTCGCCTTTCTCTATAAACTTGGCAGTGGTAGCTTCGACGATTTGTGTATCACTAGCGTAGTAGACAATCGTCCATTCTCAGAGATGAAATCAATGATCGGCATGTTTGTAAATATTCTACCTTATCGGATGAAAATGGATCCGAACGAATCCTTCATTGATTTAATGAGACGAGTTCGTGATTTATGCATCGGCATTTTCGAACATGGTCAACTACCATACCAAGAAATTGTCAAGCTTGTAACTAAGTCTTCGCCACAGAGGATACCATTTTTCTTCATATATGAGTCCACTGCATCACTAATGACATATGAAACTACCATGGAGTTTCAAACGAAGGACGCAGCTATGCGAGGCTACTCTAATCGTGATTGGACTTATGGCAATGGTACTTCCAGGAACGACATTTCTTTAAAAATGATACATAATAATCATGAGCAGACAACTCATTTTATCTTAGAGTGTGCGGCAGAATTTGTTGATGAGTCGGCAATGTCCTTGATGGCTAGACGCTTCCAGTACTTTCTCTCGCAGTTATTCTTAACTTATTCTCCGAATCTTCGTACCCAAACAATTGAACCCATTATGAAACTGTCTTTCCTCCTACCGGAAGAAATTCAAGAAAAAGAACAAACTGTTTTTCAAAGAATACCAACTATTATCAATGCAGGTATGTCGTTCACTAAAGTCAGAAAATCAGCAGTGTCACATATCCAGAAAACTG